AGCGTACTACGCATTGGTATCTCTTTGTTACTCCATACCGTTGGGTGTGCCACCTTACAGTACAGACGAATATTAAATTATAGCGTGCTACGCATTGGTATCTCTTGGTTACTCCATACCGTTGGGTGTGCCACCTTACAGTACAGACGAATATTAAATTATAGCATGCTACGCATTGGTATATCTTGGTTACTCCATACCGTTGGGTGTGCCACCATAAAGTACAGACGAATATTTTCACTGCTAAATATCCACGAAACTAGCCCGCGTGCAATGCTAACGTGCTCTCTGCACCCCTATTAATAGGCCCTAACGACCCTCAAGTCCCCAAATTCAGGTTTTCTGCGTCTTTCGCCAAGTTACGCGGTCGTAAGTTATATCCAGTTTTTACCCACCCACCTCCCCTTCGACGACGTCTACCAATTACGCATATCTCTGTCGTTCAAACCTCTGCCTAGGCTAAATCTTGCCTCCCATAACTTAGCCTTGCCTGGGCAGTGAGTGGCTTTGTTTGCAGTGAAAATGTTTTGCTATTTTTAAAAAAGTTAGAGCGTGCTATCTTGGTTATTCCATACCGCTGGGTTCTATAGCGATATTATCATTATTTTACTCGATTACGCTGTAGCATGAAAAACACGAATAAAAACTAAAATGTAGTAAAATATTATGTCTAATAGATTTTAATTTCACAGGAGGGCAAACGTTAGCGTGCGACGTGTAAAATGCCGAATTAAAATTAATGAGGAGAATAATATTATGTGTCGAATAAATTTTAAGTCTAAGTTCACCACCGTAAATACTATGCTTTTTAAACTTTACAGGAAATTTATAAAAATATAATAAATTGCCCCATACACGTAGATCAATAGAAGGAGTGATGAAACAATTTATTCCATGTAGTGACTGGACCTCGCTGTAGGCCGCGTTAAAATGCATTAAAATACGCGTTTCATTATTAACCGGGCGTGGGCCTGGGGCCCAGCCGGTTAATAAAATAGCTTCTGTTTTTTTTTTTGTCGTCGATCTCTTATACCTCTACTCCGCCAAAGTGCTAGGAGGAGAGCTAGGGGTGAGTATGAATATATATGAATGTATTCGCCTTGTGAAAGATTTTCTCGGGGAAGAACGAAGCCCGGACTCGAGAGAGCGGCGGAAATCGAGCCTATGTGAAAGTTGGACTGGTCCAAATAGATATTAATTTAGGACCGCGTAAACACATCGGAGCGGCGTACAGTTTTCGCAACGTCGGTGAGTTTGACTCGTTAAAATATTAAATCATTGTACTCACTACTAGGTGGACACACTAGGAGCGCCATTAGATCAATTTTTTTTATCAAGGCTACGTTACATTTCGCCAGGGTCATAATATTGTCCTGTTTGTTTTGTGTGAAATACATTTCTTTTCCGTAAAGGAAAACAGAAACTTGCCCAGACTCGCAGATTTATGTAAACAGAAACTTGCTGAGACGTGCAGATTTATATTTGGACGATTACGTCATAGGGTCACGTCGAATCGTGACTTGAAGAGATTGTCTGTGAGGTGCGTACGTACATCACATACACTAGAAGCGCCATTAGATCAAATTTTTTATCAAGGCTACGTTACATTTCGCCAGGGTCATAATATTGTCCTGTTTGTTTTGTGTGAAATACATTTCTTTTCCGAAAAGGAAAACAGAAACTTGCCCAGACTCGCAGATTTATGTAAACAGAAACTTGCTGAGACGTGCAGATTTATATTTGGACGATTACGTCATAGGGTCACGTCGAATCGTGACTGTGAGGTGCGTACGTACATCACATACACTGGAAGCGCCATTAGATCAATTTTTTTATCAAGGCTACGTTAGATTTCGCCAGGGTCATCCTTTGCCTAAATGATATTTTATGAATATTGTCCTGTTAAATAATTGTCATTTTGTGTGAAATACATATCTTTTCCGTATATTTTCTGAGAAAAACAGAAACTTGCTGAGAAATGCAGATTTATAAATAAGGACGATTACGTCATGGGGTCACATGAGTCAACGTCTGTGATAAACCGGGGTCGCCGTTAGGTCAAATTTCATATCAAGCTATTACTTTTGATTTGAACATGAATACTCTGCTGTTTATTTAGTGTGAAATACATTACTTTTTCGTGTTGGTGCAGCAATTCACTTCCTTGTATGCAGAAGATTTATAAATAACAACCATTACGTTACAATATCACATTTTGACTCACGCAATTTGTCGAACTGTGACTAGAATAGCTGCGAATGATGATGGTGCAACGCGGAACGTCTGCGATTGATGGTTCAACACCGATTCGTACCTATGTTGTCGTGTTTTTTCCTCTTATTCAACTTTGGCTTTATATTGAGGAATGATCTTCAAAGACTGCTCAGAGGCAAGAAAATTGACAGTAGGCACTATACGCAAACATCAGACTTCAGCGTGACTGCCGTGACTAATCTGATAGATTTCAAGCAAGAAAGCAGGTAAAACGGCTTGCTTGCTTGATAAAAAAAAGCCCGGTTATATTTTCTTCGAAAATTCTTGTTTGTAAATACTTAGAGATTACCTGTTTTACATAGCATGGAACGGACGTACCTGCCATCCTCCAGTCTTCATGATTGACCTAAGCAATGAATGATCCACGATGTGAAAACCCGGACATTACGCGGGATGCGTTTGTATTTGGTGTTTACAGATCTCGACAGTAAAACCAATGAATAAAGACTGGACTGAAACACAACACTTCAATGTTGCTTGCGAGATTGAATGATTGCTTTCGCACTACAAAACAAAACTGGCCTTTTTTTACCGAAGACAGAAGGATTCATACAAGTACGTACTACCATCTATAAGACTTGGAAACATTATGGAAGACAAAGGCTTTCCTTCCTGGACGGCGCCCGGTATCAAGTCGCTGCAGCTCTCTATTCACGGTATTTCCACTTCGCTGGAACACGTCGTTTATGTCGATCGACGGAGATGACCATATTCTAACTTATAGTAAGCGAAAACTCCTACTTGAAGAGCATTGCGAGATCGAAATGTATACATCTCTAGCTAGTAAAACTCGTCATTTACCGCCAACTGAATTCGCCGCGAAATATTATAATTTATTCTGCCGCGAGAAATGCCGGGAAATTGATACTACGCTAGTGATGACAACATGGCTAGAAGAGTATTGACAGATTATAACACTTTCGGTAACTGGTACGGGTCGCACTACAGCCAATTTTGACCAATTTTGTTTATTCAAGTATCAAAACTGTCAACACGTAACGTAAAAATCGTAAAATACAGTGCGACCCCCAGTTTCAATTTTTTGCCAATTTTTTTGCGAATTGCCAAATTTTCGCCAATCTTCAAAGAAGCCGAAGTGTTGCCTTGGAGCCGACCAAATTTTTGAAAATCACACAATTTCACGGTTATTTTAGCCCGTTTTAGCCATTAAACTGTCATTCACGCAAGATGCTATGTCTTGATTACCCGGTTCATCTGACTCTTTTAATAATTATTTCGACGAAAACGAAGAACATGAACATCGATCGTAATATTATTACGCCGCGAATGTCTATGACTACACTGGGTCTGATCGAGACCAAATTTACCGGCGGCAATTTAGAGAACAATTCGTCTCAAGTTCAAGTTCGATTGCAATTGAAGCCAGCAGCAAGAAAACGACGAAAACCAAGAAAGCCTGGTCCCAAGCCGTTTAAGTTTACATTTACATCAATCAGGAGAGTTTTGGAAAACACTTCTTGGTTTGAGTGCGACCACCACCAAAATTTGGCACTTGCCAATTTTTTGCCAATTTTTCCTCGCCAAAAATTACAACATTTTTTATGTAGACAAAATTGGCTGTAGTGCGACCCGTTACAGTTGAAACTTTTTGTGTCCCCTCGGTCTATAAATAAACTTTATTGGTTCCCTTCTTTGGTATTCTACATGAATATATCACAGTTACACAAATAATAATGAAGAATGACTATTAGCCCAATGCAAATTTGTATAGGTTTTTCCAATAAACAAATTGAAATCTCCGTGACGTCAAAAAATAGATCAAATGGTCTCTATTTTTTACCTTCTGAAATGATAAGTTTCTCTTTTTGATATTTGTCTAATCGACGAAACTTCTTTTTTCCCAAAATTTTAACAATTTGAGCCACCTTTAATTTATGCAAGATAAGGTGGCTGTGAGGCCCATCGACATATTGTTTTATACAATTGTTTGTAACTTCTATTTTGTCGATTACACAAACACGATAGGTTTTCTCATACTATGCGTTATTCTTATTGGATAATTAAATTCCTGTCAATGATGGGTCAAATATAACTAATTTGAATATAATTTGAATAAGGTTTGTATTTGGAAAAACCTACACAAAACTAACATTATTGGATCGATGAAGTCACGTGACGACCTCGCCGGTAAACCACTCAGGGCACTTTGTGTCTCTTTGATTGAGTGGCTTCAGGCCTTTATATAATTAGCTTGTGAGCGATCGCCGCTAAATTCGCCTAAGCTCAATGTTCATTATAACTTAAAACTCAAAAGGAATTAATTTAAAATAATTAAAGAAGGCTTAATTATCTGTTTTAATGAAAGCTTTTTGCAATATAATTACAGTTCAGTTCCCATAATAAATTTGTTGTGAGTGATTTTCTGATTTCATAGCCTGCGTAGCTGGCTCTCGAAATGCGAACGAGCTGCCTCTCGAAATGCGAACGAGCGTGAGTCGTGCGCGCGAAGCGCGCGAGGCGACCCAGACCCAGACTCCGCTCGTTTTCGCCGCTAAAAATTTACTTCGCGCGCCAAGACCGCCAGCTACGCAGGCTACTGATTTCATAGAAAAATCATCAAATCCAAGTTGGCGAATTCAATATGGAATTTATGACGTCATTGTTTGCTCATATAACGTTATAATTGACAAATGACCACAGTATTATGTTGGTAAATAAAGTTATTCAGCATGTCATGAGCATGGGACTACAAATAAAACATATTTAGTCCCCGACAGGAATCGAATCCATGTCTTCCGTACGCCAGTCGGATGCTTCGCTCTACCAATGAGCTCCGGAAAGACTCGTGTAATGAGCGGTGTACGGAAGATCATGGGTTCGATTCCCATCGGAAACTCAAGATGTTTTCTTTGCAGTCCCATTTTCGTGATATGCTGAATAACTTTATTTATCTATTACATGGCCGAGGTCCACATTTACCATCTTACTCTTTATCAAGTATCAATATTGTGAGTAACTACAAACTATCCGATTTGTGTTGTCGTAGCTAATTGCAATATTAATTTCTGGCACGTTTATTGGGTAATTTGTATCAACCATAAGAAGACAGGCATATAGATCTTGTTCGCACGTTATATATCACTGCCCTGTCGACTTACACCCGCGCTTTTTATCTCTGCCCTGACCGCTGGACGAATCACCTCGTGTATCTGCAGTAACTTTGACAACATTATAACGTTAGCAATCAGACGCATATCAGTACTCTTGTCAATTTGTTACTAAACTGTACTGTCATCAAACTCTTCACTATATGAGAAGCATTATAATATACAAACCACAGGATAATGCATTTATTTCAAGCATTTGATTGGTTCCCTACATACCCTCTCTACCTTATTTGGAAATACCGCAAAGTTCAATTTTTTTTGTCTCGGGCAAACACTGGGGGAACAATTTCGTCTTTTTCTATTTTCCTCGGAGAAATTCGACATGTTCCCTGTGATTTGTATATTATAAATCAATTATTCGCCTCAGGCTCGTGAATATATAAACAATAGCCTCCATTTGGCGAGGAAATATGCTCGGATATTTGTCCGCGGACATTATCTGTTCCGAGAAGCGAACAGTTTTCCGAGAGCGAAGCTCGAGGAAAACTGTAAGCTTCGAGGAACAGATAATGTCCAAGGACAAATATCCGAGCATATTTTTGAAGCCAAATGGAGGCTATTGTAGTTATTATCCTTCAAATATTTTTTCACAAGGCCGCTCTGTTTGCCGTGGAAGATCTCGGTCGGCCAAGCTGTTAAACATCAAAATAATTATGTTGGCGTTCAAAAATATTTCTAGTCTGTTCAAAACAATCAGTTTTATTTAATTTAGCAATTTATTTGAGACGAAAACGGAACCTGCGAACGTGAAACGCAAATTTTCAAAACTGGGGAATATCACTTGGGGAATATCACCCGGATATTCCCCAGTTTTGGCTGCGTCACGTGACGTGTTTAGACCAATCGCGCGCGAGAAAAAATTTTGATGGATTATAATGGTGAATATTCCCAACATATTTACCAATATCACAGCCTGAGGCGAATAATTGTTAAATATCTATTTCTTTGATGATGTTAGGGTCGTTTGGTCACTCCGTGATCACGTCTGGTTCCCTTGAATCCCGCCTTGATCTAAAATTTAAAGCAACTGAAGGTCCCATGTGTAGATTTGTCTGCACAATGTACTTGTCTCCTGTTGTTGAGAACCTCCTGAGGGTGTGCTTGTCGAGTCTCAAAACAGCACCTACGTCAGCAAGCCCCTTACGAACATTATCAATGGTGTCATTATCATCCACCATAGACTCAGGGAGTTCGTCTCCTATCAAATTCAAAAACTCCGCATTAGAACAGGCGTTACTAGAGGCGAATGAAGGCGCGACCACCGACTCGGGAAGCTCGCCCAACAAGTCCAAAAGTTCTGTATTACAGTCACTACTGGAAACGATTGAAGGTGCGCTAGTAGTATCTGCTTCCTCCCCTAGTGGAATACCTTCTGCACTGTATGGACTCGATGATGTGTCCTCGACAGTAACTTCGTTGTCTATTAATGCCAGTTGCGATGAATTATCAAGACGATCCCACGGTTCGACATATGGGGGATAGTCAGAAGGCAAAGTCAAAAAGCTCCCAACATACTCCTCCCGTAGTTTTGACTTTTTCTCATTTTTAGGCCTGTCATAGAGTTTATGTCGATATCCAAAGCTGGCCAGCTTTCGCTTGACAATTTCGTGCAAGCGCGCCAATCGCGCTAAATAGTATTCCTTTATAAAGGTTCCGAGCTCTGCGTCTGCAAATTTGCCTCCTGACAATTCCTTGACACTTTCATAGGACTCATTAAGAATAGCCACGAACATGTTTATGAGGATGAAAGACATGCTAAGCATGTAGCCAAATACGAACAAAGGGGCTAGGATGCGGTTAGAGGATTGGAGCTCGAAAAAATACAATTCTCCTCCAAGGAATTTTTGAATCAACGTGATAAACGCCTCAACAAATGAACGATATGAGTCGATATCATTGCCAAACACAAGCACTCCAAATAAGGCAAAAGAGAGAAGGTTAATGAAAAATACGACGGAATATGAGGTAATATGTGGAGATGACAGCTTCAGCGAGGAGACCATCTGGCAAACGTGGCTGTTGAATCGGATTATTCTCAAAAATTTCACTGTGACAATAAACACGACCACGGACAGTACAACCATCTCCAGATCAGACCAGAACAGGACGTAGTCGGCACTGGCTGTCTCAAATGGGTTCGCCTGGACTTGCTTTACAAACGAAGACACGTACTTTTCCTTAAAGAAAAAGAACGCGATTGTTGTTATGGCAGAAATAAGCTGAAGTAAATTCATCCAGTTCCAGAAAGAGCGGAAGTATGAACAGCTTTGACGATATATCTTCACAGCTTCCAGTAGCAGAAAGTAAGCAATTAGAAACAACAGAATAATTTGACAAGCCACGAAGAGAGAACGAAACTTGGGGTCGGTTGTACCATATATTGAAAGCGTGTTGAATCTCGCTTGAGTTATGGGTTTTCCTGTCGGATAAACCTCGTAAGCAAATTTTGCCACGCTAAATAAAGAGGTTGATGGTTGAAAAACAGTAAACTCTATGAAAACCGCTGCAGTTCGTTCATCGATCCAATCGTTGCTTGCAAGATTAATAACAACTCTTGACGCTGTTCGCGAGTTGTATCCAAGATCAGCCACGTACCCTCCGCCATCGTATCTCGTTTTCCTTCCATAATACGACAATGTATTGAGCTCTAGTGATGAGTTGTAACGCCAAGGTTTTGGGCACAGTCTCAACAGGTCATATTCTGAGTGGTATTTAGTGATATTCGTGATCGGTATCCACCCAGGCAGGTTAAAACGTGTCGTATCCTCATCTTGGGTTGAATAAGCAGGAATACATCTTTTGAACATGCCGTCGACCGGAGGGTACTCTGTTGCAACTTGACATGGATATTCTGACGCAAAGGAAAGATAGATAGGAATTAAGAAACATATAAACACAACAGTGAATTTAATTTTGATATGTCTAGTAAGATAACCCCAAATGATTGATCACTATGGCGAGAAGAAGAATTACTGTACGACATAAGCATTTTAGAGTGCAAATACGCACAAAAATGAGTGAAAACGAGACCGTATTACACTCTTCTTAATCCCCTGACCGCAAAGGCTCGAAAAATTAAAAACTGACTAAGTCTTGTAAAAATACCCTGTCGTATCATATACAATGTTCCGTTGAACAACCTTTTTATATCGTACATTTCACCATGCAACCGAGATTGTGACTAATTAATCATATTACTTTCTAAATTGTTGAACTTTCATGCTTTTGTTTTCCTTCTCTTGCACGTAGTTGGTTTGTTACAATGTTAATATTCATTACCTTACGCATTGCACGATTGATTTGTTTGGTTGAGAGGACAATAACCCGATACCTTTCCCAACTGATTCTCGTTATTATCCAAACTATTTTATCTAAATTATTTTGCGTCTGTCTGTCTGTCTGTCTAGGATTCCTGATTGATTGATATTGTCTTACCTTCCTTGACTCTGACTTGTTTGAACCTTGGCATGCCCACTAAGAAGGCATTGCGGGTGCTTATGTAACCCTCTGGTGCAATAAACCGCTGACCATTGTACCAGCTGGTGTCGTAGACACCTGGAATGAACTCTTCATCGATCCACTCCCAGAATGCAACTTTTGAATCGATCTGAAAAATAACAAAAAGAAGCAAAACAAGTGAGTAACTACAGATTCAGTTGTTTTTTCTCTTCTAAGTGCAAAATAATTGAATGGTCCGTTCTTTCGTCATGGTAAGATTATCACTTTCTGATTACAGCTGCGAAATTGAAAAAAACAAATACTCTTTCAAAACCGGCTCAAGAAATTGTTCGTTCTGCACCTCAATTTTTTCTCACAGTACAATCCCTTATCTCTGCTGTTTTTTTTTTAGCATGCGCATCAGTAGAAGATGCGGGCTTGTAACGTGGGAAACGTGAAGGTCAATTTATACAGCTTTCTTCTTAAAATAATAATTACGAGATACCCCCGAGTCTAGTTATGTTAAATTACACAAGTAGTTCAAAAAACAGTATTTTACCTCTTCAAATGATTCTTTAAGCATGTCCTCCAAATTTGACGTGAGCCTGTATCGACTGTATCCTCGATTCCCATACACGACCACAAAAAGGCAAACCACGAAAGCCAAGAACAGCACAATCTCCACAAGTGTGCTTATGGTCTCCACTATACTCTCTCTGTACTTCCGTGCTGCAAGGAGTTCGTCTCCAGTAGGTGCTACAACATACACGTTATTGTTTACTTCTAAGGCGGAATCTTTGACTGACTGAGCGGTTTGCTCTTCGGGTGGTTTTTTGAGGACGAGGGCGAGTAGTAAAGCTATAGCCACGACTTTTATGGGCTGCATGATCGCTATATCTTGGAAGAATGATATTAAAGCTGACGTGAGCCATTGGCTAGAGACGTCTTTGCCCATTGGACGCTGTAGAATATAATGAATGTACCAGCTGTAAGTGAAGCAAGAATGCAAAGCAACCAGCCGATATACACAAAGAAATGAGGAAGACATCCTGGGGTTTTAGCTTTTTTGTTCCTGCGTGAATCTGCAACGTTTCTTCCTGATTCTTCGTCTTCGTGTTGACTCTTTTCGTTGTTACTGAATGGAAGCTTAATGTTCCGGAAGATAGTAGCAATAAGCAAGTTCAATGGCACAACAACCAGAGCACTCTGTACGCCAATCAGGAGCTGCTTCACGCTGA